TACATACTACATATAGGCTATTCGTTGCAGGAGATTTTAATTATTTTACTATACTTACCATACTTACATTACTTCGTTGCTTCGTTACTTACCTTAGCCCCTTTACATAACTTGTCATAATTTACATATTACTTCCACAGATATTGCCCACTCTTTATTTTCAAAGTACAAAGAGAACATTGAAAATTTACAAGATATAGGACATATCTTAAACTTATTACTAAATCACTGCTGAGTTATGTATAATCTATAATTAACTTATAACTAAATAATGTCTAACTTATAATTAACTTATAACTAATTAATGACTAACTTATAATTAAATTATAACTAATTAATGATTAATTTATAATTAATTTATAACTAGCTTATAACTAATATTTCAACTTTGGTGCGTAGCTCTTAGCTTGGTATTGTATCCCAAAGATTGTTCTTTGAAAAACGATACTAATTACCAGGTCTCACCACATGGAGGTGGCTACACACAATGGTCGTTTCGTAAATGTACAATCATTTAATTTATCAAATCACTTTGTATTCTTTTGTCTACGGTACACACATCTTTTTACATTTGTTAAATCTACTATCGTACATGTCGTTTACTCAACAGCATTCATTTTCCGATGTAAATTGTAATTCCTTAATTTAATACGAGGGGAGGGAAGGATGGGGTGCTTAGTAAAAATCTGTACATACATGATTAACGTTTACTTATCTACAATAAAACAGTATACATTCGTCTGCGTGATCACGCGTAGACAAAGATCACAGTAACTGTCACGTCCCGCATGCATCGAATCGGCAAGATAGGAAACTGTAGAATCGACGCAATACATGGGACGGTCATAAGTCTTTTGACCAACATGGCGTCTAATACTCGACGTCTGATTGGACACTACGGCAAATGCAAGTATCGCGGACTTGCAACTAAAATCTTATTAGTTGCTGTTAATCATCAATTTACAGCATTGTAGATCTATTGCAATCTCAATTGCGATCACCCGAATATTCAACGTATCGACAACTGTACCATAAACAATTTCACAAATGATCTTATTTCGCGATTGCGCTCTGATATGAGAACGATGGAACGAAGACTAAAGTTTGCACGTGTCTTTCGACGAGGCAACAGAATTATATCATTTAAACTGAACAAACTTTAATACGAGCGATTTACTCACGGCAACCATAAAATCCACCTTGCAGAAGCGCGTGATAGAATGCCCATACGTTGAAATGTTACTATGTCCCATTATGATCAGTTTAAGAACTACTCACTTTTAATTGCCCCCGCGCGTCGCTATGTGGCGCGAGCTGTTTCTCGTATGATTCGAGGTTAACTTTACATCTAGACTTCGTGTTTATGATTCAATATTACGACTGATGCCATAGGACGGTAAACTAATCAAATTTCCCTATATTACTATAGGATTACTATTAGGATTTTCTATATATTATATACGAATATTTTCCAATATTCCTATATACATCACGGAAGTTAATTGCATTATTCGATGATAAAGAAAAGAATGATCGAAAATAATTGATGTAGATTAATGTTTATCGATCCACAAATTTTAGCAACTGGCGGAATTCTTTGAAAGATTTAAGAAAACTCAACGAATATACTATCTTTCCAATTAAAAATATACTAAGGCCAAATAGAAAAGAAATAGTCAATTTAGAATAAGAAAGATGAGATGTGAACACTGGTCTAATAATCTTACAATGAAATGACATCATCTTGAATTGTAATGAGAGTCAAAATCAAAGAAAATAAGATACAAACCGCTATTGTTACCTTCGGTTTAGTCAATATCAGAATCATAGGAATCTACATTACCCTGAGGGTTACAAAGTCTAGAATTATAGTTATCATCAATGGTATCGTCATGCTACATTCGGTCTAAGGATGAAGTTTGTACATCAGAGGCAACATGGAGCTCGATGATGCATTTCTTCATATTCTTAGAATGATCTAAATCTGTAAACAATGTGACTAGTGACAGTATTTCTCTACTGCCTAACACAGTGAATGTAAATCTCCAAACTGTTAAGACAAACTATGTACTTTTACGTCTTTTGGGTCCCTTTCACGCGCTTCTATTAACTCCAAAGAAATTCAGAATAGATGAATTGATGCAACCTTGGCTCTCGATAATATGCTTGTGTAACGCTTACGTTACCCAGTGATCACGTGAAAATGTTGGTTTCATTTAACTACTGCTGCAATTCCCTAACATCAAGGCCCCTATAAAAATCGATATGAAAGAGAGTTCCAGCAGGAACGTTGCAAGTCTGAAATTTAAGAAACAAGAGCAATATTATATATTTGGCGTTATTATTTCTCTCGTGTTACTATATCGTTATAATCTTTCTTATTGTTAGTAACTTTCTTAGTGTTACCATTTCTTTAAATGTTACTATTTCTTTCAATTCGTTATTTTCCTATTTGTACGTTTATTTTAATGCTAAATATAAGAGAAATATTTAAGTAATCATTACAATTTATTTTCTTATTCGCAAAACGCTAGGATTTACAAATTTTTATTTGTTTTCTCGCACACGAGTACTTAGTTCAGAGTAACAATGGTTCATTGGCACTCACTCTAAATCATTCAGGAGGACTATTTGCTCATGCTATTCAAGTTACGACAGTAGAAAATAACGGTGGAATGACCAACGACAGGGCCACTTTATAATTACAAGAAATATTCGTTTAATACCAACAACACACCGCATTGGTTATACGAATCAAACACGACTATTATTTTATCGACTACACGAATCCATAGTTATCCAACAGATTCTAGTCATAGTCCTGTCTACGCTTGTAGTGTATATAGAAATGAATAACTTGAAATTAACTGGTAATTGATCGAGATTGACGTTAGTTTCACCATTCCAGATGTGGATATCTGCACTGACTGTCCTTGTTACCGTGTGTGTATTGCAGACATTGATTCGACATCCCAAGGCAATATTATTAAGAGTAACCAACAAGCTTAGTTTATAAGGCCATGATATTTTCTTCAGCTGCTGTGTTCGATCAGATGTCGGACATTAACTGTCGCATGGGTGCTCATATAGGTGCCCATAAAACTCTGCCCATGATCATTTCGTGTATTCGGTCGATTCTGCAATTTCACATCCTGTTAATTCGATGAAACTGGGACGAAATAATAACAATGTAAAAGAAATAGTAACACTTTGGATATAGTAACAGCTCTCTATTCTTTAATTTTGCAACATGCAAAGTCCTTGAGAAGATTCTCCTTCTAAGAGTCTATGCATGAATGGTAACATTTTCTCCTAATCGTTGAGTGGGCACATGCGCGTTGTAGATGTCGCTACGTGCGAGAGATTCGTTATTCTTCACACTCGCATGCTCCCATCCGGTAATAATATCGAGGGCCGACATTATAGTAACATCACACGATTCATGATTAAACTTAGTATCGTGCAGTATAAGTTTCTTTCTTCTTTCTTATGCTTTTTTCAGCCACAAAGTTCTCACACTATGTTTGCTCGACATAAGAGTATTTACCGATGATGTTAATAAACAAAGTTTACAAGTCATAGCACGAAAACTTGAGCCTACCAACACGTATGAAATTACCAAGTAACATGATGCTCGTAGGAACGACTATGAAATATTTTGTATCTGTTCAAAAAAATCTTGGTTAACATTCAAGAAAAAACGATAACAATTATTGTAACGCTGAAGAAAACATGCTATGACTGCTTACCAAAGAACAAGAGATCTCGACGCTGCTACATCTCTAATTAGTAATATCCGGCTTGTCCAAGGGACTACTTACAGATACAAATTAATCACAATAGTAAACACATACATACTCGCGAATACTAAACCACGCATACACTGCAGCGCTAAAGTATCAAGACACATGCCTATTTCAATGAACCTGTAATATATGGGAATTATTATTGTTAAACAACGTTCAGTGAAAAATTCTATTAATGGTGCATATTTAATGAATCATTTTAATTCCTTAAACAATTCATTCGTTGTGTCTGTACGTGCTGCTGATTCTTTCTTCCAGTTTCACATAAATGTTTAGAATCATGACCCAATGAGTGGCAATTTCAGATGAGAATGCAGGGCCATTCTACTGTTCTATCGAAACCAATTCTATTTTAATATTCTAAAGATTATGAGGATTACGAAAAGAAAAGAACTGAATATCGACATACATTCTCAAATAGCAAGATTGTAAACAGAAGAATATTTTGTAAGAAATTATGAAATCTGACAATTATAACATAAGACAATTTGTTATGAGAGGAACTTGCATGTAGAAAGATGATAACAAGAACATAAGTTTATGTTCATTGAAAAGTTAGAGAGAAAATTCTCAAATAGCAAGATTGTAAACAGAAGAATATTTTGTATTAAAGAAAAGAAAAGAAATTATGAAATCTGACAATTATAACATAAGACAATTTGTTATGAGAAGAACTTGCATGTAGAAAGATGATAACAAGAACATAAGTTTATGTTCATTGAAAAGTTAGAGAGAAATTGGATAACAATTACGAAATGCCCCACTGTTAAATATAAAGGTCAGTTACGGTTTAGACTCGTACGATTATTAATACAATGAAAAATTTTAAGTACAAAAAGGTATTAAAACATCCTGCACGACAACACCATTTTTCTCAGAGCGGATTAATTTTCTATCTGTACACGACAACAATCCTAAACGTATTGCTAAAATATGTAAAATTACTTACAGCAGAGATTTGATGTTAACGCAACGATATGGTCATCTTCGATTATATACGAGTTCAACTGAATATATAGAAAAATTATGAGATTAAACTTGTACGTACAATTCCGAAATAAGTATTTCAAGTCGAAAAAAACATTTACATGTGACATGTACAAACGGAAAGTATATAAATATTAATTCTGGAACAATAAAAAAGTTAATAGTCAGAATGTGAAATTTGTAGACGCAGTTATAAGAGTACGCGGTGGATATATACATAGAAAGAAGATATAATTACTTTTTATTATTATTGGTGAGATATTTAATGAATTATTAGTAAAATATATTCTCTGATACGGTACAAAATATGGTACATAAAATTTAACGAAATTCATCGATAACTTCATGGCTTTTCCTCGGGAATTTAGTACAATTAAACAAGTGTCTTAATACTTTAGAGTGGCAGTGCACGATCACTTCCTTTTAAACACGCATACACACTCTTATATAACTGCGTAATGTCTTTTAACCATCGATACTTATAATCTGTCTTAATCTAGAAGGGCGCGAAAACCATCGATCCCTTGGTCGTAACGACAACCCTAAGTTGCACTTTTTCTATCTTGACTGCACTAAATGGTTCATCATATTTTGTTCCTTTGTTTGTGTAAAACTTGAGCTTATTTTTACATCATAGATACACCAGAATATTCTTTGAAGTAACTCTTCATCTCGACATAATTGAGTTGTTGAATTTTCCATTCTTTCTTCTTACATTTACAAAGATAATTCACATAAAACACTCATACTGCATCCTTTCTCTTATTTCCTCTTTTGGCGGTCCCAGTATAAAATTGATTCGTATGGCAGGAAATAATAAGAAGTTGATCTTCACGGTGCTTCAGTTCGTTAAAACATTATGTTTCTCGATTATTTAGTTTTCGTTTGCGACATGTATATCTAATACAGAATTTTCCTCGCCACCGGCTAGCACTCGGACGTCTCTGTCTGGATCTGATCTCATTTGTCTGAGCTTCCTCTCCACTTCTTGTGCCCGTTCAACTCCCAACCACTCTGCTAAAAATCGAAATACTCGTGAGTATACTTTCCCTGCAACCTAATTGTCTACATAAAAGACATTATATATAAAATACTTACAACCCATAGGAATAACATTTTTCGACAAGGTCCTCGCTACAGCTAGTCTCACGTTTGGTACTTTGTCCGAAGATAACTTTAACAAACTAGGTAACATTTCCTGCGAAAACCTGTCACCGCTGATGGCGTTACTGGATATTAATTTCGCGCACACGAGGGCGAACGTCTGTCTTCTAACCCATTTCTTCGCGTACAAACCAAGGAAAAATCTAAGCTCTTGAAACAGCGCTGTGACCAGGCATTCGTTGACAGAAAGGTGAGCTACTATCTGCGTCACCTGTGTAGATATCGGAGACAAAAGTATTAAACACACTTCATATCAATGTTACGCTATATGTCCACCTAACGTTACCACCTCAAATACATTTTTTAAAACATTTAATAAAATACCAAGGAATAAACATCAATTCTTTATGTTCTACTACTTCGTAACATAAATCCAACGCAAAGCAAGGTAAAAGTGTCTAGATAAACAATGACATAAACATCAGTAACGTTAGAATAGACGCCCCTAATCTTTTCTTGAACATAGAAAATGGCGAACGAGCGAGGTCGTACCAAAGAAAGCGCAACGTGCCTCACAGCAGCGACTTTGTCGTTCAGCAGATCAAGGGACAAAGACACAATGTGCCGTTCTACGTCTGCAGGACTGAAGAGGTTCACAATTTCCAACAGCTGAGTGGCCAACTCCTCTCGAAATCTCCAGTTGGATTCGGTATCGGTGGTGAGGAATTCTTTAAGCCTCGGTAAATACTGACGCTGATCCTCCGGTCTGAGCATCTTCAGAAATGTCGCTAGATGCTTGAGTACACCTATCCTGACCTCGTCCAGGTCCTTGATGAATCCATCGTAGATCGGAACGAGATCAGTGGCAGTGAGTTCTTCCCCGAGAATATTGGCGATTTCGTGAATACTCGAGGCCAATGTCCGTCTCACCTTCCACTGATTAGCGCTCGCCAAAGACTGATAGGCAGGCTTCAAATACGGCCAATTTTCTCTCCCTAACGTGAGTACAACAGCTGCAAAGCTGAAAGCACAGTAATGCGGAAGATCCGTGCCCATGTCGAAGTACTCTTCTGGACCGGCCATCGATAAGAACGAATCGACCAGATGCTGCGGAACGATCTCTTGGTCATTGAAATTCACTACTTCGAATTTGTTAGCCGGATATTTGTTCCCTTTCAATACATAGTCCAACGATGATGCTTTACTGGATGCAGTTGTGTTGGTGAACAGGTTCTGATCTATATCGTCCTGCACGATGGATCTCCTGCCACCGGACCTTTCGGCAGCGGACCTTTTGGCGGATTCCACGAGCTCCTCGTCCAGTGGAAGGTCTGGTGATATGTAGAAATACAGGAACGGATTAAAATTTTCCGTATCGTCCTCGTCGTTTTGCAAATGCTTCCACTGTATCTGAAAGAAACGGAACGATTAGTCAGTAAACTTGGAAACTTTACAAGCGTTTTCTTCTCTCTTTTCTATAGGTAAACGAAGCAGAGAAGACAAGTTCGAACATTCGATTTAACTGTTTGAGTCCCAAGCAGTGGGATCGCGCTCTTCAGATTTTGTGTCGAAAAATCCCAGTACATTTCGAGAGCTATGGACAACTGACGGTGCTTTCACTGACTATCACATAGCACCAACAAGCGCTATCATGCCGATTGAGATTTCTCGACATAAAATTAAACAAGCGCTACCGCGCCGTTTGGGCTTTTTCGCACTCGATTAAGACAAGCGCTATCGCGCTGTTCGGGGTTTACCGACCGCGTTCTTTTAACACTTTACCGACCGCTAGCGATTCAACAGCATACGCACATCCGACCAGCCACTCAGCCGCCGATTCTTCCTGGTGCCCCCCATATAAAAATGTGGAGGCTCACAAAGCAACGCAACTGACGCAACTGAGCAACGTACTTCAATACTAAATAACAAATTACTGTTCATATAATCATAATGACCGTTCATCGCCATGGCAACCGATTAATCGGTCGGTAAGCGTCGGTAACAAAAAGCCGATTAATAGGCTATCGGTCGGTAACAAAAAGCCGATTAACAGGCTACCGGTCGGTAAAGTGTTAAAAGCCTCTGCGCGACTCAAACGGTTAATCCTACGTGCAACTCGTTACATTTATGATCTCGGGAACGGAAGAGAGTCACGCTAATGAATATCTTGAAGGAAATAGAAAGGCAGATGAGCTCGCGGATCGCCTGTTCGTTACTTACGGACGCGTCATACCTTCGTCTTATAAGCTCTCATGGTGAAAATGTAATCCTCCTGGGACTCGTCCTCCTCGTCGTCATCTTCGTAAATTGGCTTTTGTATTATCACAGATGAATCGAAGTTATCCTTAGAATTATAATCCTCCGTGTCTACCATGTGACTTTGTATGGTGCATTTCGCGGGGAAAATTCCCTCGTACAGATACCTTATACTGCAACAAGAGAGCGGGCAACGATTTACATGTTTATTTTTCCCGCTTCGGGGGTGGGGGGAGGAACGGGGAAACGTGACAGCGGGGGCAAGAGTCGATCTGGGAACGAAAAGAGTACGAGAGCGGGGCAGAAATAAAATATAAGTAGAAGAAATAGCGGGGAATAAATAAAATGGAAATTACAATGCGAGTCTCGAGAGAATCGGCCAAGTAGAGGGTAAGAAACTTTTAGCTTTTTATACCTGAAACGGGTATCTTGTTGGCTGGTAAACACTAGTTCGCCGTGATGATTATAAGTTACTTCGGTAAACTGTTTCGCGAACGTAGATATAAATGGTCCTAAAATTTGAAAGGCAGACATTCGCACCCATTTCGACTCGTCGTTAAGATGCGCGGCCAGCAGCTCTGCCAAGAGTAATCGACGGTGCTGAAGGGTCATGCAGCATGAAACTGACATCATCACGTCCACGCACGCTTTCCGGACGCCCCACACTTTATCGAAGCACAGGTCGATGTATAACGGGAACTGCAACAGAGGAAGAAGAAATTAGAAGAGGTTCAAACTCGATTCTAACCCCTTGCGCTATTTTTCACGAGTCTGACTCGCGATGAAAATTTTGGGCCAAACTTGATTATCACGTGTCGGGCTCGTTGTTCAATTTCATGCCCAAACGTGGATATCGCGTGTCTGACTCGTGATCGACGTTTCGGGTCGAACATGAATATCACGTGTCTGACACGTTGTCGACATTTCAGGCCAAACATGAATATCCCGAGTCTGACTCGTGGTCTTAATCTAGGGTTAAGTATGAATATCTCGAATGGGCTCGCGGCTATCTCGCACTTCAGCGTAGTGCAAGGGGTTAACCCTTTGACTGCCACGACGAAATAACATGTTTCCCTCACGACGCCACAGAAGTGCACCGCTAGATGCGAGATTTGTTCTAATACTTTTTTGATGTGCTAATAAAAAATTTTTAATCGTTCAATGGGGCACTTTTTGTTTCAAAGTATCTTCTAATTAGCGGTTACATTCAAAATGCACCAATTGCCAATTTTCGTTCAATGTTGTTCAGTGTAGTTCAAGTAGTTCAAGCGCTCCGGTCACCAATGACCATCGTGGCGTCACAGGAGAAACCGTGGCCGGTCATATATGACCAACGTGGCAGTCAAAAAGTGCTAACCACTTCGGTACGAGCGTCGACTATAGTTAACGATCAAGAACTTTTACTTTGATTCCGCATTAAAACTGCGAACATTTAGAAATATCGTAATAAAAACATAAAACATATGTGGCTGTAGGCAAGCGTCGTACCGAAGTGGTTAATCGGTCATTCTACGTGATTTTTTCCTTCGCGTCTTTTCTCTTTTTATTCCCAAATCGTGACAGCGGCAAGTAAAAAGCATTCGTGTAAAGGACCCACCAATTTTCGAAAAAGGGTTTTCCTCCTGACAGCGGCGCAAAACTCCCCGAAGTGCGAGGCGCAGATTTTTCTCGTGTAAAACACCTCGCAGAGGGCAATGTATTTATCCAGAAAAATCTTTTCCGCCAGGTCTTCGCCGATGAAAGGTGCTAACTTGCACATGAGCTGTGAATATCGACACAATTAACCATATACTTCTTACAGGTCACAAGCGGATCTTGCATAGTGTAAAGCAAACGTGATGTAACAGAAAGAATAATCCTCAATGAAAATGAATTTGAAGAAAACAATCAACGGGATATGCGCGCGCGCAATCACGCGCATAGGCGTCGAACTGTTTAAACTCGGTTCAGAGTCGACGTAATTTATAATTTCAGAAAAAGAAAGAAGGAGAAAGGATGTTTAAAATGTTGCTGATAGCGTCGCGATGGGATTGCTTAATATCGCAGTGAACGAAGACATAAATCGCACCGTTCCGCTCATCAAAGCTGGCTGTGATACGAGTCCAAGTCACCACATCACAACCACTCTGATGGGAGGAACAGTCGAACTTGCGCTTCTTAAACATCTGAAAAAGAAACGCACGGATACGATCAAGATAAGCCATAGGATCGTACGTTGCCCGGTAGAACCGCAAAGGACCATCGTTCTCACGCTCGCCGCTAGATGGCTTCCTACTCGAAGGAGTTTCGAGGACTTTTTGGCAAGTTCCCGGAAAACCTACACTTTCCCATATATATAACTTCCAGACCTTCCAATAGTATCCCGTCTAAGGCTAGGTAGCCGTACTGATATGAGCCCACGCTAGCAGGAGCCCAGGACGAAACGCACCTCCTTCCTTTTCCTTCACGTCTCTTCTAGCAGCGCAACTGCGCCACATCGAGGGGGGATAACTTACGACCAACCGACGACATATACGACGAACGTAGTATAGAGAAAACCCCCCTTCAGTATTATCCATAACGTATTCTCGAGCATATATCATATCTTCTTGGTGGCGCCCGCATGTGCGCGAATCAGAAGATCATTGGACGATGATGAAACGAATTGGACACACAGGGGGGATGAATCATCATCCTGTCGTCATTCGACGATCGTGTAAAGGCATATATATATACGCTTTATTTGTTCCCCGTACGTTACAAACTAGGATGATCATCAAGTATAATAACCTCGTGTCGTAAATATTAAACTGTGTCCGATGATATGCGCACGTGTTTCAGGAATCAGTCAATGATGATTGATTTTACGGTAAACCGATACTGATCTTTATTACGCATGTATGTACACTTTGACGGCGATGGCTAGAGTTGAAAATCGGTAAAAAGACGGAGGAAATGATGAAAAGCAAAGGAGGAAGGGTAGAAAAAAAGTAACGTGGCCTACAGCACAATCATCGGGGATGTCACGCATAAGGAAGTCATCTCGAGATCGCGCCGTTCAATAAACGCGATCACGTCTTTCATGGATCCCGCGAATCCATGAGAGGAAGCGGACTATGGAAGGGTAGCGGAGTCTTTCCCGAAAGTGGAAACTGAAACTGTGCGCGCGAGGACTCGATCTCCGTATCGGGGTAGCCGATCGGAAACGTTTTTCTTGAAAATGTTTCGCGATGGAACGCTGTATTTCGCGGGAAAACGAGCGTGTACCGGCCATAGAAGATGCGCGAAGGATGATCGGGAATGGATTTACGAGCGCAAACGCAACTAAGGAAGAGAGAGGATGCATCGGGATCGACGCGAAATAGGTTACACGAGCCTGTTGGGGGGGGGTCTTTGTCGAGAACAGTTGGCCAAACGCGACGCCGCGCTCATCAAAGCTGGCTGTGATATGAACGCTTGCATCAGCATATCACAACCACTTTGTGAGCGATGCACCCGCGCCATTTTCGCACAAGTACGATACATCGATTTCTTCCACATCTCATCCTCGTCTCGTCGAGCCCTCTATTCTCGTTTACGCGACAGCCTAAACACCACCACCTCGATGGATTAAAAGCTGCGCGTGTGTGGACAGACGTTGCGAAAAACGGCGATCCAAATCGTCAAAAATGGCTGTGATATGAAATCTAGAAAAGCAACACGCCACAACCAATTTGACGATTGGATCGCGTTGCTCTCGTGCTCTCCGTGGTTGCCTATCTTCTGGGGCCACTCGCGTCGTTCCCGCTCTTCATTCATCTCGGTGCTGTTCTCGATACAACGCTCGTGTCCCGTTCTCTCCACTCTCTCCCCTTCGTATCGCGTGTTGCTCCCGCGGATCACTCGTTTCCGTCATCCCTCTATCCAGATACACAGCTCTCTGTCTTTCTCTCTGGTAATTATTCCCACGTCTCTCCATCCTTGCCTTGTTCTCCTCCAGGCTCTTCTTCCCTCTTCGCTCCTGTCCCTTCGATTTTCTCCTGCTGGGCGAATCGCGCGCGTAGAGGATAGACACGATTTTGCTCATCAAAGCTGGCTGTGATAGTCGATCTCTATGACAAACCAACTTTGATGGTAAAAGCATGTCCCTGTCGAAGGGACCCTCTTCTCTTCTCTTCTCTGCTCTTCGTTTTCTTCTTGCTCCTGGTCCGTCGAGCGCGCCTAGGCTCGTTGCGGGATCTTGCCACACGCGTGACAGCGGAATTTTCGGGACGCTTCTGTGCCCCTCGTCAGATGAACGCCGTTGCTGAAGAAGAACGGACGCCGGATGAACGACAAGATAGTGAGACGCGAAAGCGTGAGAACATCTCACTACCCATGTCTTTCAGGCGGAGCCCGTCCGAGGGATTCAACGACCATAAACGCGGTGCACCTCGATATATACACCTACTACACCCGATCGCCATGCTACACTTCCTCCTCGCATATCGAACGAACCGGCGAGTCGAATGGATCAGGAATGCTAGGCGCGAGGGACGCGTCTCGCCTTGTTTTCTCCACGCTCCCGTACTTCCAATGCACACACGTTTGAACCCGCGAGCAATTCTTTACATACGTATTCTTTAATTAAACCACGTCGACGATCGACCTGCGGTTCGTTTGGACGCATTAAAATGAGAAAACTCGTTAAACCGCACGGGGTCAGCCGTGGAATGTTAAGCAGCAGGAGAGCAGGAGAAGGTGAGACAACCGTTCCAACCATTCTCCATTCGACTCGTACTCATCGTCATCCTCCCCCGAAAACGCAACCGACACAGGCGATAAAGTACACGAGTACACGAAACTGGGCAGAGATTAGGATATCTCGTTCCTAGTAACTCTCTCTCTCTCTCTCTGTTTGATCGCTAGGTAGGCTTAGCGTTTGGTCCCTGTGCCGAGCTCGTACTCATCGGGGCTCGTCATCCTCCCCCGAAAACGCAACCGACACAGGCGATAAAGTACACGAGTACACGAAACTGGGCAGAGATTAGGATATCTCGTTCCTAGTAACTCTCTCTCTCTCTCTCTGTTTGATCGCTAGGTAGGCTTAGCGTTTGGTCCCTGTGCCGGTGTGTGCCCGATGGCCACGGAGCATCGCGATCGGTCGGGGCAAAGAAGAATACAGAGACGGTGGAAAGTTAGAAGAAATTAGAGAAAAATGGAGGAAGAAAACGGAAAAAAGAACATATGGAAACTTACGGAGACGCCACAGTTAATGAAATCGACGGACCTACAGAGCATTTCTATTTGGGGGCACAGTATCGTCTCGATCGTGTTGTTGTCGAGCAGTCCCTTCTTGGTCAGCGCCAACACCGCCGTCTGGGCCGACATTCGTATCTGGCCAGCAACCAGAGAAAAAGGAAAAAGGAATTCGTCAATGGAGCCTGTAATTCCTTTCGTAGGCGGAGGAACATAGACCAGACGCTACTTGTCAGCAGCGGTGAGAGTCGATTAGCGAAATTTGATGGCCGACTACGTGGCCAGATACGTGGACAAAATATTCACCTGGTTGTCCCGTTCTTGCAGAAACGTGATAATGAAGCTGAGCAGGTAATCGTGGAGGACGTTGTCGAATAAGTGCGGGTACTCGTGGCAGATCGACGCCGCTTCCGGTATTTGCTCCAACAGGTCCGTTCGTATTTGCACGTCTGAAACCAAAGCGAACCGATTTTTCCATCGTTTCAATTTTCCCTCCGCGCCTTTCTATCCTCCTTCTCGTTCCCCGACCGGTTCCAAATTTCGGGGAATTTCGCGTCAGATCTCTGTGATAAACCGTGACAATGCTATAGGACCCAGAGTCATAGTCACGCAACCGACTTTGGATCGCGAAAAATAATAATAAAAAGCAAACCAGACAAAAATATTGGGATTTTTCCTCGTCCCGTGACAGACGAAGGTCAACTTACTCGAAAAATGTCGATTAAATTTATTTTCATCGGTCCCCATACGATCGGATCGGCGAGATCGGTAGGATTTACCTCGGATAATCGGTCGTGGAATATTCAGAGATGGTAAAAGGGAGAAAAAGGAGGAAGGAAAGTTCCAATTAGAAACAGAAGAGACAAATACGGGGAGGGAAAGGGGGACGAAAGTTGCATCGATTACCCTAGACGTGGAAAGGAACTGGCGGCGTCCTGAGGAGGAATCCGATCGTTTCTTTGCAACTCACGATCGGCGGCTAGCCGGCAGCCATTCGTGCGTCGAAAGCGAGAAAAACAGGAGGGAAAGGCAGAGGGTCAGCCATTCTTCCAGGTTTTCTCGACCTTGGCCGTTTTTATTCCCCCGACAGGCGTTTTCGTGGAGATACCTGAATGGGGAAGAAAGGCGACGCAAGCCGGCGCCCCTGCTGATTAGGAAAACTCGCACCTTTCCGGCCCCGGGACGGACGTAAAGAACGAGGATCACCCGGTTGGTCATTAGTGGAACGACCATGGATTCCCGCTCTGCTTAACTGGACAGGTGCAACGGGATGGAAATAATTACGTCCCTTGTTAATTTCGAGAAGCTTCGCCGGGATTGGGCCCGATGCACCGTTTGGCGAAATATCGAACATTTTCCACGATTTTCCCTCTCAATTTTAAGGTTAAACGATCGAAATATATATATTCCAACGAAATTAATACGTAATAAGCATCGACCAGCTTCGTCGATCTACACGAACACAACTTTCGCGGTGCCGGTATCGCGAAACCGCTCGAACGCTGATTCCCGAGTTTCCCGAGTGTTGCAGCACGACACCGTGGGTCTTGATTCGATTGGAAACCCGAAGGAAATACTCGAGAGAAATCGTAGCGCGAGTCCCTCCAGTCGGAGCACGCGACACCGCGAAAAGTTACCAAAAATCTCCCTAGAACTCTCCACATGATGTATGTATTGGTTGAAAATAAGAGAAACGAAGGTAAAATAAAGTCCATCGTAAGAAAACACACGCGAGAACGACGCACAGGACGGCACGACACAGCAGCTAGTACTAAAAACGCGGGAAAAATTCCTCGAGCACAAGACCGCGGCGACATCTGAGGAAAATGGAGGACACTAGAGAAAAGTCGTGAAAGGCACGTCACGATGGAGGAGCGTGGGTGCGACTGAGGGTCGCGGGAAATGCACCTTCCCGGTTTGCCGGACTTTTCCAGTCGGGAGTGGGGGGCTCCGGAGGGTAGCGCGGCCCCCACCACCGCGGCAAGGCCCAACTGGGGAGCTCGCCGGGAGGGTAGGGGATCGCGGACAAAACGGGGTTCGTCCGTTTTCGGCCGCTTTCGCGCTGCCTTCGTGAGGCCCACGGTCCGAGCACGTGCTCGCTTTTCCTCCCCTCCACGCCGCCCTCTCCCCGCGTTTCCCGACGACTTCCACGATCCACGGTCCACGCACCCGCCCTCCGTGTCGCCGGTGTTGGCCGACGAAACGCGAACAAGAAGCTCCATTCTCTCGCTCTCTTTCTCTCTCCCGGTGCAGCCCCGGTCCATTAATCACGAGCTGGGTCTTATCTTCTCTTCCCCGCCTACTCCGTCCTTGCGCCTTCTGTCCGGGCCACGAGATCCCGCCAAAAATATCCCGCTGCGTTCCTTCAGGATTAAGCGTCACCGATTATTTACCCCCGGCATCTCGTCTCCTTTCCTTCTTTCTTCGGGGGCCGTTTCATTGTACACCGTTGCCAATACGCGCTAGCTGGGCCCTCGGTGTGTTTGAAAAGCTGCTTCCTTCTTTGCCGCCTTTTCTAACCACCACCCACCACGTGGCCCCGCTCT